TGATCTGACCCATTGTTGTGGGACGAATCAGCGTTCTGCCCATCTGTTTCATGCTATTGGCATGGAGTGGTTGGGTGGGGCGGGGTTCGTGTCATGACTGTGGACAGGACTGGAATGCCTATGCATCCAGGCCATCTTGATACTTACTGAGTTTTTTAATTATTTATCCATGTTGAACATGCCCGTATGCCTGGCTGCAGGGGCTTATAGCGGATGCTCGTGTGCATACCCCCATACTGATAACTCATGTTTTATGACACATGTACATGTTGGTGTGTGTGTGCATGCGGGCATCTGTGGTGGGCCCCAGTGGTCAGACTGAACCCTCACAATTTTGAAATGATAAACACACTCTTAACCTATTGCAAGTTCCTAGCAGAGGTTCCTGGGCAGTATGGGGGAGTATACATGTATATAATAATCATATTCCAATATGCTTGCATTATATATACACATGCAGAGTACCTGTGTCCCTTACTACATTGTCACATTATACTCATAATTAATAATGATAGCTATATCCGCTATGTAAGTCAAAAAATACTTCTTGCTAATGACATTGAGCTTAATCCTGGTCCCATGTAAAATATAGAAATCACTCGTCTTAATGTTAGGTCTGTAAGGAACAAACTTGATATAGTTGATTCTGAGCTGCACTTTAATGACATTGTTTGCTTAACAGAAACTCATACCAGATATTCCCAATAATGATAATATGCTAGACTCATTTCCAAATGAACCATACAGAAAGGATAGACAAAATAGGATGGGGGAGGGGTTGATTTATTATGAAAATACTGTTCAGACTAAAAGAGGATTGGACCTTGAGCATGATGATATCGAACTTATTTGGATAGAAGTGCATACTGGTTATCACAGATTTTATTAGAGTGAATATATATACCGGAATCTAATGTAGAATACTGGACACAACTTGATATTTTATTGGATAAAGCTGTTGATACCTCACTAGACATAATTTTAACAGGTGACATAAATATTGACATGTTATATCTACGTCCTAACTCACATCTCAGCAGAATTTTTACTAAATATAATCTGAACAGTCTAATAAATGAACCGACAAGATTCACTCTTAATAGTTCACCCTCTATAGATATTGTCTTTACTAATAATACTTGAATCATTCAAATACATGTACAAGCCCTCAGTTCTGTAGTGATCACTGTCCTATACATATTACAGTTTCCTATTCTGTCTATAAACATAGGTGTTATAAAAAGACTATATTAATGTATGATAATGCTGATTTTGACCAAATGAACAGATCACTGAGAGATATTGACTGGATGACACATGCGCAAACTAGTACCTCAGAAGAACTTAACCAAAAACTTACCAACGATATTAATCAACAAATGAATAACTATATTCCTTAAAAGATAATTACTATACGTCCAGATGATAAACCGTGGGTTAATAATGAAATCAGATTAAAACTAAGACAAAAATTAGGATCCATAGAAAAGCAAAACTAACTAATAGTCAATACCACTGGAATAAATATAGAAATATTAGAAATTAAACTATTGAAATCATAAGGAAAACGAAAATAGTTTATCTTGAAAAACTACAGATATATCTGAATGATAAATCCTTACCACCATCTAAATGGTGGAAAATAGCTAAGTCTATATCTAATTTTAATAATAAATCAACTAACATTCCTCCTCTTGATCAAAACGGTATATCTCTCCAACATCCTATAGATAAAGCTAATACACTAAACGATTACTTTACCCCAATAGCAACATCCTCTCCTAATCTTGACCCACTGCCGCCTACTGTAAATAACTATCATTTTCAATTAGAAAGAACAAGATGTAATCGACCAACTTGAACTACAAAATGATAATAAACCAGCAGGGCCTGATGCGATTATACCTAAAGTAATTGAAAAAACTAACACCCTCAATATCATATCCACTAACACTACTATTTAACAAAACGATGAATTTTGGACATATCCATGCATCATGGGAACTCGCTAAAGTTAATGCTATATATAAGGGTAAGGGGTCCCAAAATGATGCCTGTAATCATAGGCCAATCTCAATTACATCTTGTTTCATTAAAATTATTGAAAAAAATCATCTTTAATTACTTGTATAACTGTCCTGTAGCAGCTGAAAATTATTTCTGAGCACCAGTCAGGCTTCCTGCCTGGTGACTCAACTGTGAATCAATTATTATCTATATATCACACTATTATAAATGATTTATATAAAGGTAAAGAAGTTAGATTTGTCTTCTGTGATGTAAGTAAAGCTTTTGATAGGTCTTGGCATGACGGTTTAATATATAAATTAGAAGTTTATGGAATTAAAGGAAAATTACTGGCATGGTTTAAGAACTACTTGTCCAAGAGAAAACAAAGGGTTATTACAACTCATTATTACTTGCAGAATATATGCTCTTGGGCTAAATCTTGGGATATAAAATTTAACGCATCCAAAACTAAAACTATGATCTTCACACGGAAAAAAGAAACTAATCACCCTTCAATCTTTTTCTCTAATCAACCACTAACCGACAGTATAACCATAAACCTGTAGGTCTTACTTTTAATGAAGATGGTAAATGGGGTCAACATATCCAAAATATTTATGACACAGGATGTAAACGAATTAATATATTAAGAAGTCTTAAAACCTCACTTGATAGCAGTACACTTAACACTATGTATATATCCTACATTAGACCATTTTTAGAATATGCGAATGTAGTTTTCGATATTTGAACTGAACAATCAAAATTATTATTAGAATCAGTCCAACTAGATGCTGCTAGAGTAGTCACGGGGCTTCGTAGAGGTACATCACACCATAAATTGTACAAAGAATTTGGATGGGAAACCTTAGCCGATAGGAGGGGGAAAACAAACAATATTAATGTATAAAATATTGCATAATATATCACCAAAGTACCTTCATGATATAGTTGATCCTTTTTTAAATGATTTAACAAATGTGAGGTATCAGCTAAGACTAAATAGAGTGTTTAATCCCCCGGTATGTAGAACTGAGAACTACTTTAATAGTTTCTTTCCCTCAACCTTTCGACTTTACAATCAGTTAAATCCAGATATTTAAATGCTTAATCTCTTCCCCAGGTTAAAAAACTAATTAACATAACTAATAATATACAAAATAATGATACTCAGACAGTGGTAAAAATACTCTGGTGATAGACAAATCAATATCATACTATGTCAAATAGAAATAATCCACGAACTTAAACTTTGATCTCTTTAATGACCATCTATTATAATCTGCTTCATGTAAATGTGGTTATATACAAGAAACAAGTTATCATTTCTTCTTTGATTGTGCCAGATACAACAATCACAGACAATTACTCTCGGCTACTCTATTCAATGATAATCACTCGCACTATAATCTACATACTTTACTAAATGATTGTAACCAATGTGACAATGAAACCAATAAAAATATCCTAGAGAGTGTCTCAACCTTTATCGTGAACTCAAAAAGATTTATATAACTAGAATGATCTATATCAACTTATATTATAATGTACTAATAATTTAATATTGTAAACATGAACAGCATACATGCTTATGGTTATCAATACCATTGAGCACTTACTAAAAACACAGTGTGAATATGATATACTCTCCCCTTAAATCATAACAATATTGACATACCTTATTCATAATATTTAATGTATATAAGCCTAATATTCAACTATCTATGAGTCACTCTGTGTGGATTTTGAACTCCGAGGGAGTCTAAAACTCACTCATTACTCTGGTGAGGCCAAGAAGTAGCACAGGTTGACTTGTGAACTTTCATGAGCAGTTGGAGTTATCCTCCCTTCACCATATGACTTGCACATTGATATCTGTCTTGTCTACAAGTTGTGTCTTTTTTATATTATATTTTATATGCTGATTTATACAAATGCATGCAGGAGAGAACTGGTATAGGCATATCCTGTTGTTCGATCCAATTCATACAACATCATGAATAAAATTGGTTGAAATAAAATGAAATGGAACTCATCAAAACTTCATACAGGGAAACTATCAGGTCCTTTACACATCATGGTAATCAGACGAAAGTGTTTAAATAATGAATAGATTTGCTCCTATGACCTTGAAGATGTCAAAATCAGTTATTGCTACAAGCTTGACAGCACTTAATTTGAGCATGCTACACTTTACAAATATCTGACAAAAAAAACACATTTTCTTTATCCACGAAAACTGAATTCTTCATTAAAATGTTTCAATCTCGCAAAAGCTGACATGTTTTTTTAGTATGCTGAAACGGTACAAAAGACTACAATAAATAGAAAACAGGTAAAACTTTAGTAATGAAAGTCTTTTCAGAACAGCGGTAAACATCCTTATACGACCTAGTCCCTTTGCCCACGTTGTGGCAGTAACTTTTTTATATTCACTTACAAGTCTCCTTGGCCATAGGGATCTTAAGCTAGAAAAATGTAATCTTTCTTAATCTTGATTTATCCCTTGATAGTCCCATTCATCTGTTTAGAGATCATTGTTTATACAATATTCAGACCAATTGACAAAGGGTTCCTTTAAACCAAATAAGATTTAAACCGCTACACGTACTGAATCAGAAAACATTTAAACATTAACACAAGTTCCCCTATTGGGTTTGACTACGTTTGAATTCCAAAAGAACCGAGTTTAAAATCAAGGTACATTAATCCAATGATATAATGAAACCCTAAATGATTCAGTGGCAAAAAAAAGACATTTAGAAACAGTGTGATGCTGTCTTCCTGAAACAACACAAACATTTGAAACTAAAGTTGACTCAGTATGTATAATATCAGGTTAATAAAGCAAAAAATATATACAATCATAATTGTCACTGCTCTAAGGGTCTTCAAGGTAAAATACTCACAACAGCGTACAATAGCACCAATCAACAAATGAAAGTCCCGTCAATGTAGATTAGTAACCTATTAATATTTATATTCCTTTACAATTGTAAAATGTCTTTATTATAACCATTGGTCATGATCTGGACTTTGAACATGATGCATGGATTAGCACAAGTGTGTCTCTTTGGAATATGTAGCATTCTTATCTACCAAACACTTTGCAAAGATGATCAAATAAAGGGCTGCTGTCTGTCTTATGGTACTTTGCCTTTTCCGTTTTTCTTTCCTCTGCCTTATCTAAAACAGATTTCCCCTCACTATCAAGTATGGTTTTGATGTCATACGTATGTCCTGTTGATTCAAAGTACTGTTTTACGATGGTTTCACATTCGTTGAACATGACTTCATCTGATGTATACCTAGCTATATAATGTAGACAATGACAGCCGGCCTTATCTGCAACTGTGGTTAGTTTTGGGTACGACTGACACAAATACAAACAAAGATCCTTGTGTCCCCATCTATAACTCAAATGTAACACCGTACACCCGTCATTACACACAAGCTGAGACATATACTGAGCGCACGCACAACTTCTATGCACGACACGACCATCTACTGACTCACACTTGTGTTGTTCATCCTCAATTCTATACAAAGAATTCAGGAGACTTCTCTCCACTGTCCGAAACATGGAACAGTTTCCTGTTGTGGCTGCAACAAGGAGCGGGGTTCTTCCTAACCAACCATGGTCATGCACCATGTGTGGATAAGTGTCACACAACATATTCACCATCTCTTCTCTCTGATACAAACACGAATGGTACAGAACATTGCTATTGTAATGATCTCTTGCTGTTGAAGTGACGTCATACTGAAGAAGTTTACGTAACACCTTCACACTACCTCTCTCTACCACACCAAACGGTGTCTCATTGTCAGGTTTCACATTCTGGGACAAGAGATACAAAGCACATTCTTCTGTTCCATTAAAACATGCTTTATTCAACATGGCACGTTTTGTCTCACCGTTCAGGTATTGTGCAACTCTTCTAAGTCTCACGTAATCTCCTTTATGCTTCTTGATGCTAATCAATGACCACAATTCTGTATGCTTGTTAGGTTTAACACCTATAGACAGAAGATATATTGCACATTCTAATGAACTAGCAGAACATGCTTGTCCCAACAAGGCAAGTTTAATCTCATCATTCAGATAATTGATTAAGGCTTTCAGAACATTCACACTTTTCCCATTCAAAATGCAGGTCGGGGTGTTTTTGTCAGGTTTTACACCCTCCTGCAGAAGGTATAAAGCACATTCTTCTGCACCATAAGAACATGCCTTGTTCAAAACAGCAAGTTTCTCAACTTTTTTATCATTCAACATCCTGACAAATTTGTCACCGAATTCACGATCATTCCATACGTCTAGAGAGGCAATACTGGTGCCATAATCATACCCCTTACATTCAAACTCTCTAATCAGACGTTCACACATGTATGTATAATGATTACGTGATATGACAACCCCGTCTGGAGAGTTTGTGCATGTTGTTAGATAACTGAGGGATTTGCTGGGACAATTCCGTATGTAGCCAATAGGTGTGGCTTTTCCATACAAAAGTGTCACTGCCACACATATAGAATCATGAGAAAATCTGTACACATCCTCACCAGACCAATCTTTCTCCTTTACTACCAAAAACCCTGATAATCTCTCTAAACTTTTCTTTACAAATCCTATTCTTTTCTCATAGGTTATTATTGTTCTGTCATCTACTCTTTCAATCAAATCAATTTTGAATGCTTCTTCTAAAAAAAATGTGTTTACATTTTCACTGTTTGGATCTAGATCTTTTACCTGTACGATCCCGCCATTGAGGTAGAGAAACAAAAGGGCAGAACATTCCTCTAATCTTGACAATGCTTCATTCACAAATTTAAGAGGTTTCTTAAAAAAGTTGACTCGTTCTTTCTGTAATTCAGGAATATCTCTGAAAAGTCTACAGCATTGCGGAAATCCCATATTCGGGGCATAAACCATGACTGCGTCTTTTTCTTCGTCTTCCCAAAAAAATGTGTTTTCCTTTGGCTCATAGAACTCCAAAATATCCATCTTTTCTGTTGCAATTTGGTAAGTGTTAGAACTAAGATCAATGATGTTGAAATCAATGAAAACTGATCCCAAAGAATGCTTTTTCAAAGAATTAAATACTTCATTACGAACAGTTATGACTAGAAAATTGCCCTGGGTTTGATCATCCCCACAAAATTTTGTATTTACAGAGCTGATTCTTTTGTTCCACTCACCTACTTCCTTATCATGCAAAACTTTCTCTCCAAAAATATCATCAATCAAAGCAAGATATTTTGAATTAGGAGGCAATAAATCTAAGTCTTCAATTTTGTGAATTTGTAGTGGCTGTCTGTCTTCTTGTTCATTACTCAGCCTGTTAAGGAGTTGAATAGCTGTCGCTGTTTTTCCATCTCCGGTGTTACCTTTAATTACAACGATCCTGTTCTCTTCAAGCTTTTCTTTAGCATCAAAGAAACTTTTGGTTTCAATGAATGTTTTCTTTTCTTTTTCTTCTTCGAAACTGGCACGTGTAGTTGCTGTACGGAGAAAAGAAAATATTTGAGAAATGATACGGTTGTGAAAATTCTATCAGATTAGTAACTGTATTATTTTTCATCTTTAGCTTATCTATGTATTTTCTTATCTGTGTCATTTAATGACATTTATTCTTAAATGTATAGAGATTTCGTAACTTATCGAAATGAGGATACTCCAGGTTTTAATGTTTCTTGGAAAGCTGCTGAAATATTGTTGACCTTAATTTTACATCAGTTACCATAAACATGGATACATGTTATTAGTTTAAGCTACAAAGGGGTACATGCAAAACATCATGACCCTGTTGTTAAAATTAGAAAAGGCTGTAAATAATCTAGTTGATAATTTTTTGGTGGAACGTGCTTACATTTCTTGCCAGTAGAGCTAAAAACCATATTTTTTCTTCACATTCAAAATAATCCAGCTAGTATAGTTAAATGGTGCTTAATGCCAACACCAGGACATCCTATAGCATTCGTTAAAGTGAGGTTTCCAAATGAGTAATAGATGAATAACAACTTTATCAAACTCAAGCAAGTTAGATTAAAATGTTCAAAAGACAAAGAGTTCCTGCGTATCGTTTAAATATTTAAAATGTATTAAAGAGAGTAAGATAATCAACATTGGCGAAAATCACATAACACTTATTCTATGTCCGAGAAGCCCAATTACTTATGACGCCAGCCTCCAACCCTTGAAAAAGACAGTGAATGATCACATTACCAAGGACATTTTACATGAATTCAGAATGCATATTACATAAAAGATTATCAAAACCAAACAATTCACTGCACTCTTCTACAGTTATATATGATGTACATCTGTAGGATCTGACAAGATTGTATCAGGAAACATATTCGGGAGAGCTATATTTGATAACTCACCTATCATGGCTGCTACTTTTGGAGGTATCGCTGTAAAATAAGACATTTACGTTAATAGGATACAACATAATAATTTAAGGGCCTCGCCATGCGCCTAACCCTAAATATCGCCCAGCATCGCCGATTTGATGCAACAGATTTCATTCTAAGTTATGATTATTCATAATGAAGCACTACACAGGTAATCTGAAAGGTTTAGGTTTACCATTTAGACTATCCACTAAGTACCATTTACCACCAAATAACATCAGTGACTTTAATTGTGACCGGGGGATTTTCGAATCAGGTTATATGACATTACTAATGTAAAAAGATACTCATCAAATTATATTTGCCATCACACTCTATTTATACCAACAGTGACCTAAGCCCTGACGGACATCTATATGTAATTGGTTTTCATCTTGCAACCTTGCAAAATTTAAGACACTTGGATTCTGAAAATCTCTCTGTGGACAGACCGGGAGAAACTAAAGGACACCATAATGGATCTCTCCTTAGAGGTCAAGAATAGATAAGTTGTATACGATGATAGTTTAAGAGTCAAGTAAAATGAATGAGATTTGTAATGAACTAAAATGCGAAATGATTCCCCATTGTCCCAAGAACAGCATTATTAAACATGCACGGAATATGCCAAAATTAAATCTCAAAAAGCAAACAACCAACCAGAATGCAAAGCCATTATACCGAGCGGAATATGCCTAACACGCATTTTGATTTATTGGTGAATACGTAATTCCATGGGACACAACTCGTGCCGACCTGTACGTGGCGGACCCGGGAGCCTTCAATTTGCTTTGAAATATTCTAGGGGTGCAGAGTGTGTAAGTGTGTGTAATCCCTGGAATATCGAGGGTGGTCCAAGAGAAACTACTTTCCTATTTATTTATCAATATTAAAGTACATGATAGAGTCTAACTTAATATATATCTGATATTTGAACTCATTACTTGATAAAATAATATCTTACTCCGGAAAAAGTCTACTGCTAAGTGCTTAACTTACCTTCTCTTGCCTTGAATTCCTGTATATTATATTGTTTCGTATCATGGTCCATGCTCATGGTCAGTAAAGCGTCTACAGCGGTCACAAATGTGCTTCCAGTGAGAACGTCGTTTTCAATTTCGGAGATGATCTGACGGATATAATCACACCTAGCATTGAAGTCAGCATCAGACAGTGAAGCTGTGGGCAAATGTTCATCAGCTTCATTCCTCTCCTCTTTCAACCGATCAATATTAGCTGAAAGTGACCTGTCTGTATTGTCTGGGGTCTTCCCCCAACCTTTCTGATGTGGCGGTATGTTGATATCCTGAAGGTTTCGAAGCAGTTTGTACAGAAGTGTAAAATCTAAGTCATCCAGGTTACCTGAAAACGCTCCAGCTGATGGATATAAAATTTCTTGCTGACGCTGTTCAAGAATTTTACAAAGTTGAACTTTTTGACTTTGCAGAATAGCGGATAGTCCTGGAGGCGGGCATTTAACTTTCAGGACTGATCTAAAAAGGTCAGAATAGATATCGATCAACAATCGAGAGGGTCGTGCAAAATTTGTGGTTTCTCTGCTGGAAATGTACTTGGCGGCCATCGTTTCTGTGGTGGTTGATACCTGAAGATAGAGCGTGTTTATTAAGCACATTAACACCTGTATACCATTATACAAATTGTAAAAACACGTATTACGCTACATATCTTGTATCTTATAAGCCGTAATAACGTACATGTCTATTAAGTCACTGTTGATCTGGACACTATCTCTGTAATCTCGTAAGGTTGTTATTTAATAGTACGCACAGAATGACGCTATTGCAACAAAATGTTTTTCTTAGCTTTGAAATGGAAAAACAACAAAGCAGCCCATATACAATTACGTTCCAACCACAAGCCATATTTGGTGCCTTTGTTTACGAAGAATCGTGTGATTTACTGGTAACTCCTAGTAAAAGAAATCCGACATACAATATAACGTGTTTTCAATTGATCGCCTTTATTTTTAAAAAAATCAAACAATTTTTAAAACACATGATAACCGTTTAAAATGAATTGTTAGACAAATTGTTTTCTTTGAAAAGGGAAAGCAATGAGTGGAGAAAAAATGCTTTAAATTCTTTGCTAAACCCAAAAGCGATCCCCGATTTCTTTTCGGTACCGTTTAAGATACATGTTGGCCAGAAAATAAGCGAGCAAAAAAGTTAGATATTCAAATTTTACGTTTTACCATCCTTTAAAACAATGCTCATAATATTATTTAAGAATTTTTTTTTATAAAATTTACAGTAACAAAATAAAAAGGACAGTTAAATAAAGTTAATCATGCAATCAGGATACTCTAACGAACTACACACTTTTAATCTTATAAAAAATCTCTTGTTTACACATTGGCATGTTCGCACAAGATACAAGATGATATATGTATGTTTGATTATTTGTACATGGAATAATAAAGCTTTGATAATCATGTAGGATACACGTTACATCATTGTATCTATAGCGATGCATTCATAGAATGGTGTTCCCCTAACTTTTTACGACATCACCTTGTGGACAGAAGAAGGTCAAACAACTTGAATACCACTTAGGAAAGAACACTACGAGTTAAAATAGTTTGAAGACGTTAAGGAGTTTTCGGGACGGAATCCAAAACATTAATCAAATTACTTAGCATTGACTTAGACCGCGGCAAAATCATCTCATAAAAGCTAATAATGTCTCTTCATTTATCTCCTGCAAAGCTGACGGAGACGGGAGAGAAATCAAAGTTTGACTCTGGAACAAATGGAATGCTGTTTAAATCATAAATCTCAGTACATACCTCAAAACTAGTAAAAATGGCTTAACGTATTATGGGTCTTCAAAAACATCCTTCTTTTCTACGAAGGCCTTTGAAATGATATACCGTTAGTCGTTATCAACCTGGGCATTTAAAGCATCTAGATTTAATTGATTAAATTGGAATATAACATGCCTGTTTACAAGGTATTCTCTTATGCAAGGACAGTTGTGTTTTGCACTCTGCTGTTGCTGATTATGACTAGCATTAAATTTAGGCATGTTAATTTTCCTAATATGAATGGCTGACCAGTCACATGAGAAGTCTGATACAGTTTCTGAGAATGATAAGTCACAACTCTGCGGCCCTGGTCCTCCAGTAACCGGACATATCAATTAACTTTTACCTAATATGGCACATTGACAATATACTCAACTGACCCCTATACTAAAAATATTTGATGTCTTCATCAAAGGTGGTAAAATCGCCAGACAATGGGTCATATTTAGTAAGTTTACCCGGGTCCATGTGAACAAATTGTATGAATATCTTCTATTTTTTTGTGTGAATCTTAAACTTTTATGCATTTTTGCATATAAATGTTTAGTTCTTTACGTACGGTTAAAACTTAGAAATACGTCCGACAAGAATTCAGAATATTTGATACGTTTACATATAAAATTTTATGGATACATTTTGTATACTAAGTAACCATGCTACCGACTGAAACTAGTTTGTGATATGTCTTTGAATTGTAAAGCAGGTCATAGATATGTATTGTTTAGCTAGCTTGTAATTGCTATTATCTATTTGTGCAAATAAGCGGCAAAACAAATAAAAGTTATAATCGAACATGGCATATTAAATGGTGAATATGGATTATAACAAAATGTCTGACAATGTCATTATTGAGTTGAGATACTTTGAACATTTCCGCTTCTAGTTTCTTCCGGGAAATATTGGAACGCAATTGACAGCGCGTCATTTTAAAACTCAATGGGTTCAGATATTTTTTGTATCACTCAAACTGGGTTTGTTCTTTCCTAAATGCGATACAAGTTAATGGTCTCTGTTAAAAGGACGCATTATGTCTACTTCACACTTCCAAAACTTACTCGCTTAGGGTCTGCTCCCATTTCCACCATAGGTTCCACTGTATTTGTATGACCACCTCCTGTAGCAGATTCCACAACCCCGTACTGCAGTTGAAGAAGAGTTGATACCAACTACTTATCTTAGCAGTGATCAAAATTGTGAGAATTCTTGCAATATTAATGATTTCACCGACAGCATACTCGTATATATATTTAGTTTTAAAATGTAAAGATGTGTTCGTCGCTACTGTATTGAAATTTATTTTATTTTGATAGATTAGTTCAAATGAATAATGAAATATTTCACTTTAAACTTCCTATAACAAGTTTAATGTTTTAAAATGTCGTCTTATATCTGTGTGAATCTTAAATTTCAATTGTTTATTCGCATACCGGTGTTTGCTGCTTTACGTATGCTAAGAATTCTGAAATAATTCCAATATGAAGTTCCGAAAAATTAAAAATTCTTGGAGAGAAAAACCATGATTATACCTGGTAGGCTCAACAACCACATCACATACTAACAATAGATACGTATATGTCTCTAAATTGTATAGCATTTCACGGAAACATATTGTTCTGCAAATTTAGAATTGGTATTATGATTTTGGGTAAATAATCGGCGAAACAGAATCACAGTTGTAATCGTTCATAACTTATTGATTATTTGTAATAACGACATATCTGTCCAGGTAGTTATTGAGTTGGGATACTTATTCGAACCCTTTCGCTGCTAGATACTTCCAAAAGAAATTGAGTTCACAGGATGATGAAAGCAACAGGAATCGTATCATTTTTAAAACGTAATCGCTTCTTCTGATACTTTTGACTTTTATATATTCTGCAAACGTATTGTTTTTGAAATTTGATATAAAAGTAATTTAAAAAGGACGTAGTATTTCTACTTCACACTTTCAAAACTTAATTGGTAAGGACTTTCCTCATTTTCAACAATAATTTCACGATATATGTATGACTACATTAAATACATTTAATGATATTTTACTTTTAAATGCATGTATCAAGTACAGTCGTGTGAAAGCTAAACGCACTTAAAATAGCGTACGCACACCGTCGTACACCATGTGCGGTGCGCTTATCGTCTGTACATGGTGCACGCAATTATGCGATGTAACAATGGTTCCCGGTTGTGCGCAAATGTGCGATTAGGTACTATTGGTTGATTACGGAATGAAAAAAATCCGGAAGGCTCGTACTAATTTCTTATCACACTAATTAATATATAGGGGATATTTAATGGTGTCTTCAGTAATATCAAACATATTTCACGAGTGTGGCTAATATTTTGATGTTTTTCACTCGTGCTGCGCACTCGTGAAAAATTTCAAAATACGAGCCACGCTCGTGAAATATATTTGGTATTACTGAAGACACCATTAAGTTTTCTATTTATTCTATTTTAAAACATAGAACATGAAAAATGTAATGCATTAAAAGAGCGTGGGAATCAGAAGCGTAATAATTAGCGCCATATTCTAATGACGTCACGCTTGACAACAAGGTAGCGCGCCATTTTGAATGTGATACTCAACACAATTCCGACGTTTTCTGCTATTTTCTGGTATGATTGTTTATAAAAATGTTATTAATTGTATATTAATTGTATATTTATGTAAATACTTAAGTGTGTGCACCAAACATTTACCACTTGTTCTACCGTCGCTTCATTGGAATCTGAACAAAAAAAATCGTTGCCTTTGAATGCAGCGAATAAAAGATACGGTTATGATTGGTCAATACCAATTTTGATATTTGTCACACTGTGAAATATCAGTTTTATCAAGTTGATAGAATCCGTTATTTCACTGGCAAAAATGTAATAAAATGTTCAGTTTTATAATGCGTTTCACATAAAAAATATAAAAAAATATATATAAATATCTTTATTTAACGTCGTGTACAATTGCCAACAACAAACATAAGCTCTGTAGAGCTTTTATTACGACGCCGCTAAGGGAACAAATGGTGTTTCGTAGTGGAGGAAAATCCACCGGGGAAAACCACCGTGCCATCGGAGGGATAACAACTAACCCTATCAGACATCACTCTCTTTTTTTCAGCCACCGCTGGGGATCGAACTTCTTGGGAGAGCGAGTGGTCTGAAGCTCACGCTTAATTGCACACAGTAGTAATGACTGTGCGCGTTAGCGATCACGGCTATCGAGGCACCTACATAGTATAACAATAATCGTCCAGATGTTTATAGTGCGATCCTACAACTGCATACCTTGGCCTGGTAAATAGCTCCCATTTACCTGCATTTTCAAACGTCGATGAACTAAGTAAGTGTCATGGTTTAGGAAAACTACGTTCCAGGTCCATGCGCAAAGTTGCTACTTTTACCTGTATATGGGACCATTTACATATGTTGTAATTTTATATGTGTCAATTAGCCAAACTCGAAAACACCATTTCTAAATTTAAGAACATATCGATAGAATGATAAGCATATAGATAAAGCTAGAGTATAGAAACATACTTAAAATATCAATTTTTTATCCTTAATTAATGTTATATTTTAAACACGAAACCGTATTTATTGTAAATGGCATTTCTCGATTTACACCAACCACGATTGTTTTCGCCAAACGTTCGGCGATCGTTTGCTCAGGTGTGCGCAAACAATAATCGTCCAGATTTTTATCGTGCGATTCCACAACTGCATATCTTGATTTGTAAATCCTCTAATTTTTGTGTAAATTTAAAACCTCAATTGTTTTTTCATTATTTTTATTTTTCAAAACTATATTTGCTTCTTTAAGTTCGGTTTTAGTTTCAAATATCCAAAACTGTAGCCAATTGTTACACCCGCATTATATACTGAAAAAGGTTTGTTTCATGTTTTTGAATTGCATAGCAGGTCACGAATACTTATTGTTAAGCAAGCTTATAGCTTTTATCTATTACAGATGTGGAATTACATCAAATTACACGAAGTCCGATTCTTGCTCTGTGTGCAAACGACATGTGACCGATATATTTAATATGGGTGATTGATACAAATCTGGACAAACGATTTGCGATAACTATCGTGGTTTGTGTAAATTAACAGATGACTTAAACATTGGTAAGTTTTTGTTTTTAAACCTTTATGCTTGTTTAAGGTGGTTATAGACCGATACAAACGCGGCAATAAACAAACATTTTATATCCAGTTTTGCTTTCGTAACGGTGGTACAGTGTCAACGATCAGACTTTCAGGATTAGGCCAGACGAAAATCCTGATCACTCAGCAAAATAGCATATATCTGCTCTCCAAGCTGGAAGTCCTATTCCAGTGTTTTATGATACTAATACTATGTAACGCGCATTGTAAACTTGGACATAATGCAGATCATACTGACCAGAAATTAAATATATACAGTATAAATGATATGGTATCTTTTGAAAAATGTCTTGCATGTTCTCGACTCTTTAAAGAACTTACATCGTAAGGATCTATTCCCTTTTCCAACAGTAGTTTTACTGTTTTAGTATGACCATCTGTTGCAGCTGATACGAAAACATTGTCCTGAAGCAGGAAAAAGTATCAATGTCAAGTAGCATAATGTGGCCATTTGTGAATATTCTATTTAATGAATTAGCCCTATGATATTGCATGTATAAAAAAAAAAAAAAAAAAAAAAAGCACTAAATTGGCATATGATGAAGAGGACTAGGTATGCTTCATTTCTTTTCAAGAACAAAGATTGAATTTTGTTTTAGTGTTGACAATTCACAAATCCGTTTTAGCATTTATGTAGTATCTTTTGTTCTCAACACATGTGTAAATATTGCGAACAAAACACCGGTTTGAGCTATACTTAAACGTGAGTATTTCTGTTACCTAGACTTGCCCCCCGTCTCTCGAATATTTAATGATTTCGAAAAAAAAATCACTCTAATTATTTTGATCATTTGGATGTCTGAGTCTAGAGACTGTTTAAATGTGGAATAGGTTTGTAATTTGACTCCGGGGCTAGATGTCCTGTGATACCACAAACTCTGTAGGACAATTAGCCACACACCAGGAGTATAAATCGCCCTCATTACTGAATAATAACTGTCCTTGGTGATTTTATAAAAGCTTCATAAAACAAGCCATTTTGGGTTTTTACCAATTTAAATACATATACATTTATTTATTGCATAATTATAGATATTTGTATGTAAAATACATATATCTATATATCAGACAGAAATATCTTTAATTATGACAAATACAGATATCTCTAATTAGGACAAATACAGATACACTGTATATCTAATTATGACAGATATGTTATTAAAATACATATTTCTATATTTTAAATAAAGATATTTGTATTTGAAATACAGATATCTCCAATTATGACAAATACAGATATCTCCAATTATGACAAATACAGGTGTATCTCTAATTATGACATAAAGGCAGAGATATGTTATTAAAATAAAGATACTCCATGACATATATGAAATATTTTAATTTAAGATATGTGTTATTTTGTAATATCAAAATTTGAAATATCTACATTTCAAATAGAGATATCTATATTTTTAATATTCAATTCTATTCAATATCTGTTCAAAATGAAGATATCTTTATTTGAATTACAGATAATCCTGTCAATAAATACAGATATATGCAGTAAAAAGGTAATAATCCAAACCGCTTGCCAAAGCTTCATCCATTTTCAGGACATATCCAACGAAATAAAACAGGCCCTTGTAATGCTACCCAAGACCATAGGAACACAGCTAAAGGAACCCCCACTCCAAAAATCATCTGTGAACCCAGTGTAATAAAACTGTCCTTGGTCACATCCCAGCCTAATCTTCATAGCATAGCCAAATCAAATCAGCTTGATCTCAGTAATGTAATATGGGTTTGACCTTTTTGCACTCACCACTATCCCGGGAAGTGCTTTTCGAGATTTGACCATACCCTAAATTCTCAAATTAGGGGGAGATAAGCTACTAGTAAAAAGAGGGTTGGTAGCCAGTCTATCTGTTACCGAATATAGGTGATATTTAATTAAAACAGGTTCTAAGAATAAAATCCCTACCTATGGGTGTCAATTATTTTGGATTAAAGTCATGTTTTCTTTTGCATCTATTAGCAGTTTTTGATGTTGTAACCATCTTTTCAAAAGTCTGAAACATGGGGAAAATACATTTGTACTTTTTGAAATCAAAATTAATTTTGATAATAAAAATGTGTTTACAATGTAATTTATAAAAATATACAAATATGTAGGTGTGTTGTGTAGGATGACTTCGCTATCCATGTGTATCTGAGACATGCCCTCTATTTTTTGGATAAGGCCATTTCTACTGTACACTGCTACTGTATTAGCTAAATAATAATGGGGGGGGGGTTAGCTACGTAAAAAAGAACTCGAACAATATATCATTGCAGACCGACTGATTTTTCTCCGTTTTTATAGTATATGGTATGCTTGTTTATGTAATTTAGTAATGTTTATCCCGTTAAGGAACCTTTAGCATGGCTTTGAGGTAAAAAAAACTTTTACACAATTATATGATATGTACTTATGCACTCTCTGTTTTATATTATCAAACCTCTTGTGATAATTTCCTGAATACATGTACAGCCCAATGTGCACAATGAGTCATGTCGAAAAAAACTGACCGTAAAAAGTTAGTTTTATGTATGAAGTTGTTTAGAATGTCCAAAGTACAAGCAATAATACCGAATGTGCTAATGGAATGTAAAAGAAGAAAAAATTGATCTGTACAACCTGATGTGTAGATAATGTGACTGATCTTTTCTTGTATGCATGGTGTTAAATATACATAGAGTATCAGTACTTACAGGCGACTCCTTTTCAGTAATTGGCTGTATCGTGGAACCGTCGTCAATTGTTGTCTTGGAACTACTTAGTGACTGGCTCTCTCTTCGTGACGTCTCAGCTTGTAGCACCAAAGAGGTTTCAATGTTGTCTGATATAAAATAAAACATATGCTTTCTTCACATAGTTCAATATATGCAATACGAATGATATTATTTACACTGTGTTTTGACAAGTTTTTTGAGCACTTCGCATTATGTTTGTTTCCAAGTTGGATATTGTGAATATGTTGTCATTAGAGGCTAAATAAGAAAACAACATTTGTATACCAATTCTAATTTTTGTAATGTGTGTAATTATATTCCTTTGAGTTTTATAGTTTTACATAACCAATGACGATGCAATATGGAACGTTGAAATACGTGTATATGATTTATTTTAATACAGTTTTAATTGATAAACTAAAGTCAATGCGTCATTATGATACATACCCCTATTGAAAATGCACATGGAGGTTGAAAAGGTTTTTCCGACACCAAATCTGTTCTCAGCATGACATACATAACGCCCTTCATCTTGAACTGTTGTGTCGTCAATTACCAAAGACGGTGACTCAACAGAACCTCCAAAGTATTTTTCGTTGTCAATGTCAATGGCATGTTCTGTTCCGTCGTCGTTGTTGATTCGGAACCATGCAATTGAGGTGATATGAGTCGACGTCATCACCCTGCTTCTCAAAATAGCTATGTCACCAGGTTCAACATAGTATGCAGCTTGATCGATGCTTACCACCGGCACATTGATATCAGCGGCAGCTGTAGAATAATGATGCATTTATATGATAGGTAAGACAATATGATACAAATTTGATGTTGTGACAAGTACTTCAGTGACAACAAATCATCAGACCTCATACTAAAAGCAACACCCAAACTAATCGTAATGAAGTTGTGTAAGTTAAGCCTTTCTGTTTTAAACAATATGTATAACCTACTTTGAATGTAAACATTTATGACATAATGAATATGTGTTCTACAAAAGTTATATCAGTTGTTGTGCTGATTTAACAATTGCATTTGAATAATCTATAACGCATCCATTTTTCTGCTAGCATGTTTAATACTTTTTGTTTCATTTATCAATGTTTGTTCTTTTTTATTATAATATACAGTTCACAATATGCATCCGTAAATCGGACATCAGTCTGAGTGGTCCTGAATACTTGCAAGCGTATTTGTTCACTTAAATTAGAAACGCTACATAAATGCCATGCAATCTTATGTTAAATACTTGGTAAATATTTTTGATAATTATCCGTTCATTAGATTTGTTTGTAGTTAATCTCTATAAATTTAAGTAAGAAAAATAATGTTTAAATTATTAGAACATTGCCTTTAGTAGTCAGGAACAGCTTATTAAGATTATGTCATGTACCAAACATCAGGTCTTGATCTCCGATAATTAGATAGGTGTCACGCTCATCAGCTGCCATGATATTTCTTTATATTTTGTCGTGCATCGTTGAACTTAGTGAGGATAAGTCAGACTACAGTTACAGCCTCATTATCATTTTAACGATTAAATGAATGCAGGGTAACGAGTACAACATTATGTAAAAATATGTTATTCTAGGCGTTATATATCTTATGTACAGAAAATCCATTATCTTATGTACATTATATAATAGCAATGTATTTCATTAAATGTTTCCAGATAAAAAAAATAAAAAGATGATCCGAAATAAAGAAATGATTCCTAATCTTAATACTAATTATTATAATTCGGGTTCTTATGTTCCGCTTTATCACAACATAGTTCGTAGGTCGTCTGAAAGCGGTTCGTAAATTATTATCCGTGGTTATAGGGTCTTTGCAACCAGCCAATATTTTTTTTCAACTCCCTGGGAAGCAAACAGCCGGTGTTGCCATTTCGGCGCTCACAGCTAGCATTCAACAAGTCTAGCACTACCCAGCCACGTACTCATTTACAGCTGAGTAGACTGAAACAAGCGGAGTAAAATATATTGCTCAAAGATACAACACAGTGCCGTGACGTGACTCGAACCCGCAACCCTTCAGTCACGAGCCCGGCGTCCTACCATTAGACTACCGTGTCTCCTTAAGTGTGTGTTTTGCTTCTGATTAGGTAAGTTGCTATAGTTAAGACAATTTAGACCATAAGATTATATGCCGATGATTTCGGCTAAGTTATCGTTATTTAGGCCAGCACAATGGAAATCAGTTCAAACATAGATTAATTATGTTGTTTCGGAAATTTAAATGCAAAATCGATAATTTAGAGGATCTGCGCCTTCAATAGGAAGCGTTCCTTGGTTCTCAGCTAGCTTGGTATGAAATCAATCTATGTCTGTTCATTGGGTTGAAACAAAATTATCTTATGATCTCAATTCTGACGTCAGTACTTATTTGTTCTTATTAATTGGCCTTAAATTACACATTACTTTTTTGTTTACCAACGCCAATAGTACTGTTTACCAATAATATTTTATGAATTATATACTAGTATTGCTAGTAGAATTTTGATATATAACATTGGAATTGGTGAAGACATTATTTCGAATGTCTATCTTATTTGAGATTTCAGCAAAATAACTGATCAACGAAAATTGAATGATAATCTAAATCAAGATAACCTTATTCATAAGCTATTAATCTGCTGAACAATATTAATGTTGGAATTCAATATTAATTTCTTTATTACCAATCAATGACGAATAGTATCTTCTATTCAACCTACAATCGTCACTGATTAGGTATCTTTAGATTTGTATGCGGAAAGGTAAGGTCTTCAACTAAGTATTATAAGAATAATTTAAAAGGGGAGATATACTTTAATTTACCATCAAGTGTCTCTTTCATTGTGATCTTTATAGATTCCTGTGGTATTTTTAATGGGTTTCCGGTTTCATCAGGCAAACGAATAGAGTCGTCTTTGAGACCTGTAGTGAATCGTTCCGCTAAGGCCAATGCAGATTCGTCTAATGGATGTGTAGAACCAGTTATGTCGAACGACACGATGGTGCAACCTTTGCAAAAATAAACCAAAATAAAATTGATACAAGTGTCGGTATATCCACATAGTTTTGTACATTTGTGATAGATATTACACTTGACTATACAGCTGTACAGCTTGCGTCCCTGGGTATTTTTCTACTAGAGCAAAAAAAACACGTACATAACTTTACAATTTACATTACTTCTGTAATACAAAAAAAGAATACTGTTTTAACAAATATCTAAGCAAGATATTATTTTGCTGGTAGCGTTTATTAACGAATTATACTTACCTGTGCTCATTTGTACGTTGACAATCCTATAGTATACACCTAACGCTTTCCCAATTAGTCGTTGAAAAGATTCTTTAAGCGCTCTTATGTCTTCATGTACAGTAAATCGTACATTGACCTCTCTGATGTCAAGTTCCCATTCTACGTTGAAACCTTCAATAACGACACAATATAGGGATACATTTTGTAGCAATCGTATTTAATTCAGACTATTAAATGCAGGCAAATGCTCACACGACAAATTAAGTAGAACGTTTGAAATAAAGAGCTCCAAGTCATACATACTCACTCACAAGAAAATTGTCAGAATAAGTTAAAATTCATTGCAGTTTCCATGAAGTCTGTTTAATATGTATGAGTATTCAATGCAAATTGAAATTACACAACGTGGAACGTCTCTCGTAAAATGATGTTCACCAAGATTCGTACGAAAAGTTAAAAATAACAGGTGGTTGCACTGTGGGCCATTGTTTCACAGTTTAATAGTAGAACAGAACACGGGCCGCCTGTTTTATATAAAAAAAAAAAATGACAAAAAGTGACATAGTGAAAGAGGACAATTAATCTGTAATGTCATGACCCTACATCCATAGTCATTCAGGGGAAGGTAGTGTAAGATTTAAACACATGTATTTCACATTTAATACTTCAAGTTGAGTTATGGTTATTCCTTTGTAAAAACCAGATAATAAAAAAGAGGTGATTGCGCATGTCATATAATTATCTAAGACTAGTTAGGCTGTTCAAACAAAATTATGAATTAAAACACGCATTTAATATTTTGAAAACGGAATTCTTGCTTATTCATAAGTTATTTAGATTCTGATAGACTCTATAATGACTAATGAATACTAAATTGTGAACGTATTTACCTGTTTCTTGCTCTGGTTGTGTGATTTTGATTTTGATTTCATCACTCCTCCCTGTTCCGGCTGAATTTTTAGCCTGACAGATATATATGGTCTCATCTTCCTCCTCTGTTGTCTTCGTTATACAAAGAGATGGCGACTTCACAGATCCACCAATATATTTCTCGCCGTCGATGTCGATGTCTGTGAATGCATCGTTTCCTTTCGCTTTTCTTTGCCATTGCACACTGACGATTGCGGTTTTACTTTCATTAAATTTAAGTTTCTGTATAACGATTTGTCCTTTTTTGACACTGTAGGATTTTGATGTGGGCTCAAATGTAGGAACGTCTGAAAATGAATGGAGACATTAAATGTATGCAGATATATAAATATACAAATATATATTTGTATTAATTGCTTAACGCCAAAATTCATTTAAAAAAGTATTTAACAAATTCGGTCCCTAAGTGACAAATACGTTTAAAAGTCATTCGATAAATCTCTGAGATATTACAAAGAGACGTTTTTTTTTGGCATGACAAGGTAATGCATTGGACGTATATATTATGCAGTATTTAGGTTACCGTGTCGATCATGTTATTTCTTATTTGATCAAATGACATTTACTACATGTATTTCGTGCTCTGTGGTTGAAAAAATATATATATGCCAATAAACCTAACACAAGCCGTGGCCTGAATATCTTGACGAAGATTTATCAATTGAAAAAATCCCCATTCTTTTTCATATGAACAGGGTATAATTATTGTATCGTGTCATTTTATGTTGAAGAAAATGAACTGGAAACGATTTCGTCTACATGAATGTTGTTAAGAATTATTACTATCGTTGTTTATTTCTTCTGCACTTTAGCACAGATTAAATATGATAAAGGACACATTACAATTCCGCAGATAGAAAGAGGTTAATGTGCGTGGTTGGGTTTGTTTGCTCCTATTACGTAAATTTTGCAAATGATTATTTTGTATCTACCAACATGTAAACATACATCACTATGTTACAATGTATTAACGTTAAAATTAAAATCATTAATTTGATAATTGTATGTTATAATGCCGGACTTATATCCATTGCATTATAATTTATTGTTTTAAAGTTATTTATCATTACAACAACGTAATATATAACAAGAGTACGGCGGGGCGGAACAATATCCGCCCGTCGAAAGCCATATAGTGTTATATACTTTCTTACATTGAAATAAGATCTGCGTCATTCAAAGAGAGGTAAGCTGAAATGCTATAAAAATGTAGGAGAAAATCTCCGGATAAAAAAATACTGAAATGAACAAAGGGCAATAACTTTTGCAAAAAATGTTGAATCAAAATTCTTTTCAAGAAAACACAGCAACATATCATGATTATTGAGCCTACTAAGTTTCAAAGAGACCCGTTGAAAAATGTGGGAGGAGATTGCCGGACAAAAATCAAATACTGAAATGAACAAAGGGCAATAACTTTTGGAAAAATTGTCAAATCAAAATACTGTTCAAGGAAACACAACTACATATCATGATTATTCAGCCTACTAAGTTTCAAAGCGATCCGTTGAAAAATGTAGGAGGAGATTGCCGGACAAAAATCAAATACTGAAATGAACAAAGGGCAATAACGTTTGAAAAATTGTCAAATCAAAATGCTATTCAAGGAAACACAACTACATATCATGATTATTTAGCCTACTAAGTTTCAAAGCGATCCGTTGAAAAATGTAGGAGAAGATTGCCGGACAAAAATCAAATACTGAAATAAACAAAGGGCAATAACTTTTTTAAAAAAAATCGAATCAAAATTCTTTTAAGGTAGGCGCAACTTCATATCATGATTATAATGTATATTAAGTTTCAGAGAGATCGGTCGAAAAATGTAGGAAGAGATTGGCGGATAAAAATCAAATACTGAAATGAACAAAGGGCAAATACTTTTGTAAAGTCAAATTTGACGGGCGTATAAAATAATCTTAATAATAAAGCTTCAAAATAATTATTATATTTTGTTTGTTGTCAATTTATTTGACAAAATATAAAGGAATATTACATTGTTTCACTCTAAATAAATAAAACAAAAAAAGATATCCATGCCTGACTCACCATAAAAGAAATGTAATTTTAGTATATTTGATCCTTTTGACAATCTCATTAGTAATGAAATTTCACATACATGTATTTTGTTCCGCTCGAATCCTCAATAAAAGGAACAATTCTTACTTGAAAGAATGTAATATTGGGTATCAAAATATTAGTTGAAATATGTTGCACACGATGATGTTATAATTTTAAAGTAATTTTGTAATTTAAATGCTCTGGGGGGAATTGTATTACCGCAACTTTAACACCCACACAGGTGTAAGTCGATGAGGTCCCATTTGGTTTACAATGAATTCTGAAACCAACTGTTCTTGATATTAAGTTCCTATATCAATACCTTTTTTTGTTTATCTTGTTTTGAAATTCCAAGTGGGGGTCGGCGCTAATGTTAATTATCCATAGGCGTTGACCCTATCTTCGATATAACTTGCTTCGTTATTGTTGTTAAATATATATCATTTTTTTCTTTTATATTAAGAACTCACACTACTAAATCGGCCAATCAGCGAGTGTTTCATACGATTGTAATCCCTATCCATGATTTTTTTCGGGTAAATACAGTGCCTCTGAGTAAGTAATTGTTGTCATATTTTACATTGAATGAAACCTACAGATATTGAACTTTAGAAAAATGTATAGTTTTAGTAGATTTAAAATGTAATGGCGGATTAATATGGGGGTTAAACGTCCCACTTCACCGGTTTGGCTTGTAATCTTCCGGTTGTCAAAATCAGACGCATGTAGCGCTCTTATATGCCACCAAACTCACAAAAAAATGCCTTTTGAATCCTTCGTCAAACAGTATCCGTGAATCTAGACAGTTGTCAATAGTGTTGGACTTCAAATATGAACGCTATTAGCTCAAAAGCTTAGTAATAAAATTTAGTAAATGATTTAGTTGTGTGAGCCCTCAATACATCACCATTCATTTTGCTGACATTTTCTTTCAATACGAACATTAGGGTGACCTTGAAGGATTCTTACAATTCCCCTACAAGTCTGTGCGCGTAAGGGATGCTGCCCCGTGGGTCGGATATAATTTCCCAGCACCGACGGAAATGCGGATATCTCGGTCTAGTATGCAAGAACACATCATATAGCAGGCGAATATTAATAAAAATGTGTTCTGATAAACACATTTACTAAACCGCTATGCTGTTCATAAAAATATTTTCAAAAATGTATGTCTTAATATGACGATACATCATGTGTATAAAGCATACTGGTTATTTATGTGAATCGTTGTACATTTTATTTGCATCTAACAGTCTATTTTACATACCTTTATAAAACTCATGTATACGTCTAGTGTAATCATCTATTATTTCTTTAGCAGTGACGTTGATGGATCCAAGATGTTCACTTATGTTTGTGTATTCACCGTATGTTATGTTATTGTTCCTTTTCTGCACCAAACCTATGAACAGATCTTCCATTGTTTTAATGACTCCCACATCAGCAGTGGAGAGTAGCTCAGCCATTTTTACCATACAAAATGGTACGCCATATGATACCGTTTACCGGAAATAGTTCTCCTAGTTTGTGCACCATTTCTTTGTGCAGTTTTAGAACTTCTGGTGGTCTGGTGGTATCCGTTGCCATGTCGTAATATGGTACCTATATGAGAAAGAACATTTATCAACGAACATAAGATATAATAATTAAGCAATTCTCTTAATCAAATATTGGACAGCACAAGATCACAGTGGCATAGTATGATCTGCAAATTATATATAAGTGATTCATTATTTAATGGGGAAAAACCTGCAACGACCGCATGTTACTGTAAATGATAATTCTTGCGGCTCAGAATTTGTATAGAAACGTATTCCATGTAAACAATAAACACAACCTTTTATAATTATGTCTAGGTATCTTTATCGTTTTTGCCCCCTTGACATATGTCACCAGACTTAAAGCATATCGAAGTTAAATCTACTGTGCTTTTGTATATTTTAATGAATTTTTTTTTTTTTGAATCATCCGCATTGCTATAAACAAAGGAATCACGATATTTGAAAAGCATGCTTAAATTTTTCATTCAATTAACCGAAAACATCGTCTTAACTGACAATCAAATAACGTAAAACCAGCATAAACTTATGGTCAAACTCTGATGGCTTTTTTTTTAGTGCTGCTAGTTATTTTCAACATTGACGTGAAATGAGTGGCACAGAAGTTCTGACCAAAACAAATTTCAGCAAAATCGGTTACGGCACTAGCAGGTTGTCGTTATGTTATCGCATGTTGTGTACTTCACTACCTGGAACAATCATTTTCTTCTCTGTTCTTATGCTTATTCTTTATTAACTTTAAGCTTTCCAGCTCATCAGTGTACATGTTACAATATAAATACATTGGCAGACACTGCAAAACGCAGTGGAGAATGGACAAAAGATTTGACACATTTAAATGTCATTATATCATAGTCTTCCTCAATTTAGTGGCATCATATATATATTTGCTAAACCTGGTTAGTTCTTTTACATTTGTTGAGCACAGTATTTATATTAACTTAAGAACAGATGGTTTTCTCCAGTAATACATTTTTATACACTTTGATCTGAGCTCTTGGTATACAGGACAAATAAGCAAAAAATGATATTCTGTTAACCGGACATGACTTAGTAAGAGGAACAGTTTGTTTATACTACCACTTTCCCTAATAATTCGTAATTGAACAGAGAAATGTGCCTGCATAGCAATGTATGATAGCTGTAACTGTTAAGTCCCTTCACTAATTTCCGACTGAACATAGAACAGAGTGAACAATATTTGCGAGGGACATAGGGAGACTGGCAGAACATGCTGGCAACGACCATTTCACTTCCGCATCATGTGCTCATTTGACATAGCAACGACATGACCTGAACTCAAATTAAGCACTTAGCTTTATTAAAATCATGTTTACACCTTTTTATAGAATGTGTCTTCGGAATAAATGAAAAGAATACCTATTATCGTGTCGGAATGTAAACTGCATTACTTATATCCTCCACTAAGCCCGAAAGAA